AACAGCTGTCACATACCAAAGCTCAGCTGCGGCTGCACCAGCATTCCAGCATTATCTGCACGGCTCCTCCTGCACAGGAGGAGAGGCTGCTGTGCCCTCAGAGCCCCCGTGAAAGCTGTCTACCTTAGAAAGACCCCATTCCAACAGGAGATAAGACGAGGGCTATACACATGAACAGGTGGAACCAACCAGAGGCACTGCAGCCATTTTAACCTTTCCTACAGAACAGGACTAGAAATGTCATTACTTTGGTTCCAACAAGGACCAAGCTTGGATTTAAACATGCTATGTAACAGAAATGTGAGAGTTTCCCAAAGGGGCAAGTTTAAGGTATTACTTCTCTTTGCAGCAGATGCCAACATACAAATGATTACAAGGTAAAAATGTATATCCAAGTCATATTAGGAAGAAAAAAAAAATCAGGATCATGGCATCCCTAGGCAGAGGTTGTTTTTCTGTTTGGTTTTAACAAATTCACAGAGAACTCCCTTGTCCAATCATACTTGTAAAAAAACATCCATTCACATTAATGTGAATTAGTTCTTTTGATGTTAAACAAGATATTGGATGTCAGAACCAAGTCAATGCTCCACAAGCAGCTCTTTAGGGCACAGCTGTTCTCCCACCCTCAGGTAAGAAGTAGGTCTGTCTTCAGCATGCTTTCCCCCCTTGAAATGGCACTTAGTCACCTTTAAATCAAATTTATCAATGTATTAAATAGCTGAACTGAGTTATTCATCAAGTAGCCCAACAATCAGCCAGGAATTCAATGCATCATATTCCACAAAACTCTGCACTGCCAGGCCTACGGTGCTTTCACGTTAAGAGTAAGCATCTAAAACCATGTTTCCATCCATACAGATGGAAGTTTTAGTACGACTCCAACTACAAGGCATGCTTCTTTTAAAGAAGACAAGCAAACAAAATTGCTTAGATCACTGCAACTGATCCTGACACTAGATCTTCCTACTCTTATATTCATACTGGACAGAACAACATTTCTTATAATGTACTTTAAGACCAAACTAGATTCATTTTTCCTCACACCTTTCTGAAAGGCCACACGAGGCAAAAGGATCTCTTCCCCAAATAAAATCTGACAGCCAGATGCAAAATTAACAACCCTAATGACATCTGGCATTTCTTAGTATTCTGCCTATAGGCAATCATCTACTTAAAAAGTGATATATTTGATGACACCAGCAGGTGCAGAAGCCCTGTGTCATGCAAAGGAGGAGAGAATTTAAAAGTGGCTAAGTGCCAGAATCAGAAACAAAATCACCTTTCAGTAGTAAAACAAAAAAGCCTCAAACACCCATTGTACTACTGCAGTCTTCAAGACCAGGATCGGGTTACTCATACTCCTTGACATGCAGATGCTGCAGAACACAGTCCTGCATATAATTCCAAGCTTATTTTTGATCTAAAGTCTCAAAACCAACAAGCAATTTTGCAGTTTTTAAATTTTGAGATCGGTGTATTAGTCTATTTTCCCTTCTACATGCAAATGACAGAGAAGTCAAGGCCACTAGGACCACAATTATTTTTATAGACCAATAAGGAATACTATAACTTGTTTGCAAGAAGTCTCCTGGATCACAGCCATTCTTATGGCTTAAGGAATAGTTTAGTAAGTCTGACCTAATCGGTCTCCCAGTGACAATATCATGACTGTAATTGCACTATGGATTCTTATACAGTTCCATAACTCAATAACACAGTATCTCAGCAGAAAGCTATTTAACCATATCCTTTTAAATAGAGATTAAGTATTTCAAACTTTAAGGACAGTATCTTTTTTTAAGATAGATTTCAACAGAGAGAAAAGTTGACATGCATGACCAGCCACTAATGCCCAGTTTTGCTCAAATTGATGTTACAGGGAGTAGGATCAGCCCCTTAAAGCTGTAGGGGATTTTGTTTCAGCAATGGTGTTATTGGTTTAATGCTTAGAGTCAAATCAACCACATTCACACTGTTAAGGAAGAAAATGAGAGGAGACACCAGAATAAACATGCACTAACCACATTCTGAAACAAACCAAGGCAACATAGAGGAAGCACTTTTACCTTCCTAGTGTCCCATTTTGGTTTTGAGGGCTTTTAAAAGATCAGATATTTCATTTACAGAATGTAAATGCTACTTAATAAGAAAGCTGTTTTGTCATAGAAAAAAAATCTGATTCTCTGCAGTTCTTCTGAAAACTATTTTTTTAATCTGTACTTTCCAGATTCCACCACAGGAGAAATTCCCAGCCTACAGCAATCACTAAAATTATTGGCTGTATCATTTTATTTGGAATTTGTAATGTTAAGTTTCAGTACAGAATATTCCAGTCTTAAAACTGTCACTTTACAGAAATAAAAAAGCCCTAAAGTCATCAGTGTGCTCTCTTTTTCTCTCCCCACTCCAAGGGGATTTGGTGAAAGAATTCTTTTTAGAAGCGATGCCATAAATCCAACCTAGGTTTATGCCATTTCCCATCAGTACAAGACCAGGATCACCAAATCCTACTGAGACAGCTTGCAGGAAATTACAGGGATAGAGATGCTAGCGGTTCTCTATCCATTGGGACAAGCCAGGCCGCTTAAACCAACGAAGTCCCAGGCAAACAGGAAATCACTGTTTTAAAGCTTTCCTTAGGGTATGATTCTGGAGGATCATTTATTAGAAAAGTACTTCTCCTAAGCAAAACACCTAACTTTGGGGCCAAAGAAACCACTCCTCTTTCCAGTGTAATGTAGTGTGTCATCTTTTTAAGTGTCTCCCCTTCCTTTCATCTTTGGGGTGTGTGTATAAAATAAGGAAGCAGAGATAACTTGCCAAGACAGTTACATAAAATCGGTATGATTACATGTCAGTAATATTTCCTTAGCTGTTTTTGGCTGGTCTGGTACATTAGGTGCTGCAACCTTTCTGTTACAAGCACCTGATCACAGGTGTTTTACATGTTGATCACAGATCCCCTCAAAGAGATAAGGATTTCAAAAAACACTTTACTTTTGAAGTACAGAGGCATACTTCTTAGCATATGAACTTGCACAAGAAATTTGCATTAATTTGATCCTATATGTGCTCACAGAAATACTCTCCTATCTGGCAGTTCTGTACAAGGAAGTCTAAAAATGTATGAGCTATGTTAGCAATCAAGTTGAGACATGGAAATAAAACAGAGTTGGAACATCCTTTCTTAGCATGTATAATTAATCATTTAATGCATTAGATCTACATGCAAACAGTCTTAACTGTGTGCAAGACTTCACTATGTTTCCCAGTTGTGTTTTCTTTAGAACACATCCTGTTGGAAAAGGAGCCACACAGCTGTCCCAATTTAAAACATGTGTGTGCATCCCCATTTAATGGTGGGACTGGAAATAAAGGAAGCAACATCCCTCCCAGCATGATCTGCTGACTTCCATCCTCAACAGCACAGCAGAGAAACACAAAAGACCCCAATCCTCATCTGAAAAAGAGTATTTTAAGCTACTTTCTAACCCAAATGTATCTAACCTATTTCTGTCAATTCCTTGAACAAATATTGCTTCTGCACTCGTTATGTTGGGGTCATTGTACAATCCAAAAAATCTGAAGAAAAGCTGAATTGACCACTTGTCACCATTCCCACATTCTCTTCTGAATAAAGGGCACTTATCCAGCCTACTGCTCTCCTTCCCACCCCACCATTACCGACTCTAGTTGACATTCAGCGGAATTCACTCGAGAAAAGAATATCTGTATTTTTCAGAGTTAAAGCATTGAATTCTCACGGTTCATTGAAGGACCACTCTGCTCAGCCAACCCAGCAAGGGGATGGATGGCATTTTCTACTTTGCTTGCATGACCTCATCTCTGGATATCACATTTACCTATTTCACAGGAAAGCTTACTAGGTATTTGAATGTTTACATGGTCATTAAAAAATTTCTCCTATCTGAAGAGATGGATGGGACAGTTAAAACCCAAGGAGTGCCAAGATTACAACAAGTATTTTACACAAACCAATTCAACTGACACACCAGGTATTTTTAAACCTCTCTAAAACCGCAGAAGGTTGCATAATTACAACGTGGGAGCTAACTTTTCCACCCAATACTCTGTACTGTAGGTCGTAACAGCAAAGCTTCATTAAAAAGCTTCTCCCTTTTCATTATAAAGCTTTTGACCATCCCGTTTCCAAAGGATATGACCTGTGCTTCCCTACTTTCCTCGCTTACTGCCTCAGTCTCTCAGTGAAGTCCCAGTATTCTAACAAACGGGGAAAACTGATCGCAAGTGGCAACAACGCGGAAAGCCAAGCGCAGTGTTGTGTTTGCAGGAACGCACGGCTCTCAGCTCAGGCATCTGCGCGCCCTGCGCTGCTGGAACCTCCTGCAGGGGCAAAACTGCGCGGGGCTTCCCCCTTCAGGGACGGGCCGGCCGTGCCCTCCGCTCCGCTATAACAGGGCGGGCTCGGCGCTCTCCAGAGGGAGCACACAGCTCAACTAAGCCGTGAGCGATCCGCCGGCATCCCCCAAACACTTGGAACAGCCTTCGACCTCCCGTGCCCGGCAGCGGCAACGATGCAATTCCTCGTCACTAGGGAAAGCAGTAGATTAAGGCTGATTTAACCTCGAACGCCCAGTGCCGCTGCTGGGAACGGGAAAACAGCACACGCGCGACCTCCATTACCCAGGCGCTGAAGGGAGGGGAGGCTGCCCCGGGCACAGCGCTGGGGCAGCCTGAGCGCCGCTGTCACTGCGGCTTCTCCCGGCAGCCGGCTCGGGGCAGCGCTTCCCGCCGCCGCACGGCCCCTCCCCGGCGCGGCGACACCCGCGGGCGGTGAGAAGGGACGGCCCCAGGCCACCTTCCCCGTGAGGGGCGACAGCCCCAGGCCAGCCCTGGTGGAGGGGCAGTGCCCAGTCGCCCTAACGCCCCGCGTTCGCCCCGGCGCCCGCCGCGCCAGCAGCTGGGGCGCGGCTCCTGCCCCTTCCCCACAGCCGCCCCCCCCCCGCCCCACTCACCGGCATAGAAGCGGATGAGGCAGCCGGTCTCCGAGTCCATGCCCTCCTCCTGCACCCGCCACAGGTCCCGAAAGCCCAGCTGGGAGAGGTAGTCGTTCTGGATCTGCAGCGGCTTCTCGTGGGCCTCCAGCCGCCGGCTGGTCTCCCCGTGGAGCTGCACGTACAGGGCAGGAGGCCCCGCCGGCGGCTCCCTCCCGCCGGCCGCGCCCGCCGGAACCCCCCCTGCCCGCCCCGGGGGCAGCTCCCCCGGGCAGGGGGGGCCCCGGCCCGGCCCCGCACCTGTTTCTTCCACCCCGTCGCGGGGTGCCGGCTCCACCTCCAGCTCCTCCGAGGAGGACGAGCCGCCGCCGCCGCCGCTGCTGTAGGGGTCCAGCCGGTCAGAGACGCTCTCGGCGCTGGGGCTGAAGCTCTCGGTGTCGGAGCCGGCCGGCCCCAGCTCCCCCAGGAGGGAGGGGCAGGAGAGCGGCGGCCCCGCAAGGTACAGTTCGGCCGGCGGCGCCCCGGGGCTGAGGTCGGAGGGCGCCGGGCTCGGCCGGCCGCCGGCCAAGTCGCTCTCCTCGGCGCCGCTGCCCAGCGGCAGCCGGTCGGGCCGCGCCGTTTCTCCGCAGCCTCCTCCGGACAGCCCGCTCCGGGTACCCCGCCGGCTCCTCGGCCTCTCCTCCGGCGGCGGCCGCAGCCCCTCGGCCGCAGGCTCGGGCGGCGCCTCGGTGGGGCCCGCCGGCGGCTCGGGCACGGGCTGCGGCGGCGGCGCGCCCGCTTTGCCCAGCACTCGCACCACACTGCTGCCGCCCCGGTGGCCGAGCTGCTGCAACCGGGCGGCCACTTCAGCCGCCGTGGTCTCCAGGGTGCAGAGCACCGGGCGCAGGTAGCAGTTCATGTGCCGCTCGTAGACGTGGACGCAGCCCCGCTGCAGGTCCCGCCGCACCCAGTCCCGCTCCGGGGGCTGTAGGGGCTGCAGCTGCCGGGGCGGCTTCAGAAGCAGCAGCGCCTTCCTGTCCAAGCTGCGGGTGCCCAGCGAGGGCGCCGGGGCGCCGGCGGGCAAGGGGGCGGCGGCGGAGAGGTTCCTCTTCAGCCTCCCCCGCCGCAGGAGCAGGGAGTTGGCGCTGCCGGCCCCGCCGGGGGCCGCCGGAGTCCCGCTGGCCGCCAGCGCCGCGGGGGGAGCGAAGCCGCCGGCTCCCCCTCGCCTCCGCCGCGGGCCGCCGGCCGCTTTGCCGTCCAACTGCCCGCCGCCGCCCGACGGCTCCGCGCCGCTCTCCGCCTGGCTTCTCCTGCCCGGAGAGCCGCTCTCCGCTTCCCCGGGCCCGCTTCCCGCCGCCGCCGCCGGGGCTTCTGCCGCTCGCTGCTGCGCGGGCTCCATCGCCCGCGGGGTCGGGGATGCCGCCGCCGCCGCCCTGCTGGGAGCGCCGCTCGGCGCGGCGCGGGGGGGGCCGAGCGGAGCGCGGCGCCGCGTCCCAGGGGGGTGGGATTACGTAGCAGCAGCGGGGAGCATTCCGCCGGTGCCCGGCTCAGCCCCGCTGCCTGGCTGTCGCCAGCGCCATTAGGGAGGGAGGGAGGCAGGGCAGGAGCGTGTGATCCCGCCGCCGTCCGCCGCTCCCCGCGCGCGCGCGCTTCATGAATATTAATCAGCCGACAGGGAGCGAGGGAGGCTCGCGAGGGTGACGCCACCGCTCGCGCGGCGGGGCGGGGCCTGGCCGATAAACACACGGCGTGATTCCCGGCCGGCCTCGGGAGGGGCGGGAACGGGGTAGTGCCGGCGCTGCGCGGGGTCTGCTGGGAGCTGTAGTCCCGAACCGGCCGCAAGTCCCGGCAGTCCCGTGGCTTTCCGCCGGCCGCCTTCCCGGCTCCTCCATGGGCCGCGCCGGCTTCGGGGCGAGAGCCCGGTGCCTGGCCGTGTCTGAGGGCAGTAGCCCGGAACATGGTGGAAGTAACTCCGCTACCCGGCGCTGACTCCCGGGAGGCGTAGCGAGCCGCCGCCGCTCCTCACTCTGCACGGCACGGGGCTGGACACATGGACTTGTTCCTAAGCTCCGTAGTTGTATCCTTCAAGTCTCTTGGAAGGTTTTGCAGGTCCAGTGACCACACTCATCCCACTCTGTCCAATCTGTTCTCCTCGTTAGCTCCCTCGGCGCATAACCCAAGCACTGAGCCCGGGCAACCTTCTTGCATGAAGAGGGAGGTGATGGCTTGAGATCCAAGATGGAGAGACGCATGGAAATGTGGGTGGGAAACATACATGTATATATGCACACATACCAGAAAAGAGCCACTTTGTGAGTAGACTTGCAAAGAAAGTTTCAATGCTATTAGTCTGTCATTGTATAAGAGGGACTAAAGTTACCAATAATACTTACTTCTAGAAAATTGCTTAGAAGCAGCAATTAAATGGAAACATTTTTCAAAAAAACACTGTGGTTTTAAACAAATGACTGAAAAGGAAAATTACAATCAGACGCATTCCATTAGCAGTGTGAATGTGTGAGTTTTCATACTGTAAGGACGCCATACAACGGAATTCGGAGAAATCTGTGCTCCTGGAGATGTTTTAGCTGAGTAATGCCAGTTGGATAGGGCTGTAACTGCCTGAGATCTTTCCTTTTTAATACATTGTGTAAAATCACAGTGAAGCATCTTGCCACATATTCATCAAAAACACAATAGACTCTAATAAATTGGGAGTTCTGGGCAATTGACCAGTTACGTCCATATTAAGGGAGATAAATCATCACCAAGAACACCACGATAAACTCTTAGTGAAACATTATTTTTATTTGGACTGTCTTTTTAGTGTCTACATATAGTATATGAACCATAAATAAGCCAGAACCATGATAAAATTGTAGTTTACCTCTCCTAATAAAACATTTCTCCACGCTTCCGCATTACTGGCTTCATCCCCCCTAGAAGAAGGTGAAACAAAGCACAGAAAACAGAGGCATTCTCCAAGGAACTTGCAATGGAAACATATAGCTACCTTTTAAAAGGTTTTTTCTTGTAACAATAAAGGTGATATTTTACCTTTATGTGAAAACCACCCACTTTCTGAACAGAACAATCTGAAAATTAATGATAGTCTGATCATGCAGTTTGTGCTGACTCGTACCTAGAGCTGCAGTCACCAGAAAGACCATCTCTGGAATTCAAGAGCATGGACTGACAGAGGATGACTGCAGCACTTGGCCATTAAAGGCTTAAACTGGTGCCCAAAACCTCCTTTGACATTAGCAGCACGCAACAGAAATGCAGCGCTTAGTATATTGAGCTCTGGTTCTGGCTGCTTCATACATTCTGGTTTATTTCTACTGCTTTGCACCACCCTTGCGCCACCTACTTCATGGAGGTTACTCCAGGTCTCCTGAATTAAATGTGCGAGAGAAATGTTCTACATCCAAACATGCATATACAGTCACACTCAGAAGAAGGAGATAGCAAACTCTAGGGGCATTATTATTAATGGTAATACTTGAAAGAAGAGAGTTTCTAGAAAACACTTTCCAGCCCTTCTCTTCTTTGATGGGAGCGGGGACAAAGAAGCTTCACTTTTCTCAAACTGTTCAGATACCTCAATGTTCATGCACACACAGAAAAAATCCAGAATACAGAACCAAAGAGAGCTCTCCTGGGGGTTCCAGTTTTCTCCCTTGTGACCAGAGATACTGCATCCTACATGTCAGTGATGTCCCCCTAACATGACAGAGAGACAAGCTAAACATCAGTTTGAAATGAGCTGAGCTGATTTGTCCTCTGCCCTAACTGGAAGACAGTCCCAGGGCCATCCTGCCTTCACTGTTGGGAAATTCCTTCCAATTTTTAGCCCGAATTTTACACATGGGTAGTCTATGCACATTTTGCTGGCACACATGCCAGCATTGCATTGTCCTTTGACTCAAATAGCTTCTTTTTTTTTTTAACTCCAGAACTTTTACCCCCAAGGTGCTTAGAAGCAGCAATAGTATTCCCTGGGAGTCTTTGTTTTTTCTCTTTGGTAGACTAAACACACTCTTCTTGTCTCCTTTGGTGAGATAGTTCGTGTAGTGTAGGAACATGCAGTTAAGGTCATTTAAATAGCCTTGGGTCAGACCCTCCACGGGATGGACTGGTATAACTCCAGCTCTGGATTTACACAGCGAGCCTGCACAGAGCAGCCGCTGTCTGCGATACAACTTGGAGAGGTGGCTGGGGTCTGAGCTGACCTCGCTCTCCCTCTTGCCAGGCTAACGCATTGCTGCCAACAGTCTTGCCAGTGAAGGGCTTTATGCAATTAAAAACCAAAATGGTTAAACTCCTGAGAATAGGAAAGTTGTTGGATTTATAGGTGCCCTGTGAAATTGCTCAGGAGCAGAAGGCTGCAATGACGCTCCCGGCATTCCGTGAGCCCTGAGTTGCACTATGAGGAGAAAAGGGACTGCGCTGTTGCTCTTCATGCTTTGCTGAATATGAAGGTGGCAGTTTCTGTAGTGACCTAGCACCTCCAAATGTTAGCTTTACCCAGCTTGGTTATTTTTGCTTTATGCAGGGAAGTGTGCTTGAAATCTCTAAGGATATGCATATTTAAATTGAACTTTCAGGCTTATGAGAAAACTATGCTATTTTCCATTTCCCAGTGATTGATATATACTCCTAAACTCTCCTGGAACTGTGAATTTCAATACGGATTAACTGTTATTGTCAGACATGGGAATGGAGCTTATGAAATTGATGTTTGGGAGGAGGAAGCGGAAGGGTGAAATACACATTTCCCTTTTCTAAAGCTGGATTGATGACAGCTGTTTGGAAGACAGGTAAAATGAAACAGGACAGTTTACAATCTGCAGTTTTCCAACCAGAATCTGGCAGTCTTGAGGAAGAGTTTTCTGATTACAGGAGTTGTCAACAAAAAATAAGGGAATAAAAAGTAATTTATTGGCGATTACTATAAATTACTCCATACTAGAAGTCTTTATACTGAATGAACAAATTATTCACTCCCACCGACAGTGGCAGGAAAATGCCAGAAGGTTTTGAAACCACAAGATGACTTTTGAGGACAATGTTACATCCAGAGTTATCAGACCTTAGCTGAAATCTTCGCAGAGGCTGGAGCTGTTGTGATCTTCACTGCCTGCATCTCTGCTGACAGCTGCTACAGCTACAGCAGGAGGCACCAGGCTGCCGTACGCGTCTGTGGAGCTGACTGAGTAGCTGCAGTGGTGCTTGGGGTGTGTTAACTCCTGTTCAGCCTCTTCTGAAATCTGCCTCCCACGTTTCTCACAGATTCCTGTAAAGCCCTCGAGGATACACTGTGTTGTTATTAGATGTTTCTACAGGGGAAGGGACAGATTATGGGCATCAGCTGGTGTCTGTGGTTTTCCTTACTCTTTCATTATGAATGTAGCAGAGAGGACCAGGTCCAGCTTCAATTCATATTACTACCAGTTCTGTTCTGTTCTTTATTTACATTATACCACTTTATTTCCTGTAACCCCTTGGTTTAGCTGCAATTAATATTTTGCTGGGCAATTCAGTGATGACTTACTGGTTCTGTCTAATTTTTCTGAAATGTCTGCTGCACTGGAATAGTAAATAGCCTTTGTAGACTCAGCTCTACCATGAACTATACTCAAAGAGATTTTTTTAATTATATCAAACAGGCAATGATTACCCAGTTTCAGTTTTGTTTTCAAGGATATCACTGCAGAATAGTGTGCCCTGATTATACAGGAATTGCTTAATCCTCAGTCCTTGACTACAGAAAAATGGACTGACAAGTCAGTTCTGGATCAAAAGCTGAGATGAGTGCTGAGAAATACTAGTGTGGGAAAGACTATATTTATACTTTCTCTGCTGTAAGTCATCATCAATGGTGCTGTTAAATGTTCTTCTGTGTTTTAAGAAGGTATGAATCATTTTGGTGATTCCAGTTAACATGTGAAGGTGGGGAGGGAGCTCAGAAAGAAAGAATTTAATGTCCTTCAACCCTGCAGAATGTTAGGGAGCTTACTCAGCTCTCTTCTTTAGTAGCCTGTTTTTCTAGTAAGAGAGAATTTCCCTACAGATAACAAAGCAAGAGACTTATTTCAATGTCAAAATGCTGAAACAAAAGACAAAACATTTGCCATCGTACAAGTAATTCAAAGACCAGGAGACGGATGAGCTAAGGGACCATTTCAAATTAAACAATATAATTCTTTATAATGGAAAATTGAATGTTATCATATGGAAACTGTTCTTAAAATAATACTTAATTTTATTGGTAGGAATTAATTTCATTTTGTCCAATGCTATACCTGTATCCCTCATCCATATTTGGAATTGCCACAGCTGTAGGAATAAATTGGATATGCAGATAAGAAGATACTGAAATTTTATGTTGATTGCTGC